GGGGAGATAATGATATAGAGAAAGAGAAAAGGTGGACAAGGCTAGAAAGCTTAATTTTTAACAGAAAATTTTAAAGATTTTCTCAAGAAGATAAAATTCTTTTACATCTTTTTGTTTTCCCAATTCGAAAAAAAATATGCCATTGTACTTTTTAAAAACATTTCCTAGAGGTTTTCCTAATTTTCTATCGATAATCTTGCATTGTATTTTGGTTTCCAAACATAAGGATTTTTACCCATTTTCTAGCATTAATTTTTCAATCAAATATTTCAACAAAAATATTTCATCAAAGCAATATTTTCGTACATAGGTTTTGATTTGGTTACTTCCTTCATTTCATATTATTTTTTAACGAGTAAAAATGGAATGTTACATTCAACCATATATTGAAGACTTTGTTTTTACTTCCGAATTCATTTAGTAAGGAGAAAAAAAATGATTACAAAGTGCAGGAGGCAATGCTAAAAAAAACCTCAAGGAGATTGAAGGTCACATTTTCCATTAACATTAGTTAATCTCTCTAATGAACGTAGTTTTACTAAAAGGTTTTTAACTTATAGTCAATATAGATAAACATGATAGCGACGAGGTGTTATAACATCCTATGAATTTTGGCGATAACATTCTATTCTTTCTTTTTTTTTTTTTTCTTTCTTTTTTTCTTTTTTACGCTGTTTATCGTTTGGATTGAGGAATAAAGCGGGGCTATTCCTGTCGGTGGGTCTTTGAACAACTTTCATTGAACGAGTCAGCTAGAGGTTGGATTAATTAAAGAATGCATGATTTTACAGAAATTATGTATTCATCTTTATAAAATGTTTAAAAATATAGCACGTGCTCTGATTGGCTGGCTGCTGGGTTTATATAAGAGAACATAGGGCTACAGAGACTTGCTTGCGCAAAATCGTTCAAAAATATTTTATAAAGGCAATATAAAACGGCTGCTTATTTCTCTATATTCGAGTAGAGACATGCGCGAGCGTTATATATTTCTTGTAATTTATGTCAATAGCAAAATGAAAGCCCGAATAAACTTGAATGTTGATCATGTCAAATTGAACTAGTCTTAGTAAGCTGGCTCATAGACCCAGTGTGGGAGATTGATATGATCCCATGCAGTAATGGGTTCCTGATCTGTGAATATGCTGGTTCACAGACCAAGTATGGGACATGGATGCTCCTAGTAATGGGTTCCTGATCTGTAAATATGCTGGCTCACAGACCCAGTATGGGAGATGGATGCTCCTAGTAATGGGCTCCTGATCTGGGAATATTCTGGTTCACAGACCCAGGATGGGAGATGGATGCTTCTAGTAATGGGCATCTGATCTGTTACTCCTGGTAATTCTACTCTAGGTTATTGTCCTTGTCCTTAGCGGTAGCGGTAGCAGTAGCAGTAGCAGTAGCAGTAGCAGTAGCAGTAGCAGTAGCAGTAGCAGNTAGCAGTAGCAGTAGCAGTAGCAGTAGCAGTAGCAGTAGCAGTAGCAGTAGCAGTAGCAGTAGCAGTAGCAGTAGCAGTAGCAGTAGCAGTAGCAGTAGTAGTAGCAGTAGCAGTAGTTGTGGTAGTAGTAACAGCTTCACTAGAAAACCTCTAAAGTGAAGAAAGCGCGCCATTATAGTACTCAGTGATCCACCCAAGCGCAGCCAGAAGTTATTAACGTTTGGGGTTGTTATTTCCAGACAAAATGCCGATTGAAAACCATTTGAATGTATGCCATTTATGACCTCTAACTAAATGAAACTGGTTCAAAGAAGTTTAAGGGACCATTAGATTTTTGAGGGGGGTTGGGCAATTTAGTTTGTGCAGGAAATTTTTTAAAGCCTCATGGCTGTGCAGAAAGTTTTTTTCTGGCACCTTTCTTATGCATTTCGTTTTTTTTTTTTTTTTTTTTTTTTTTTTTTTTTTTTTTTTTTTTTTTTTTTTTGACTCTTTAAAGCTGTGCTCGAATTTGTTTTTGGTTTTTGCCCAACCCCCCCCCTCCCCCTTAGGGTTAGGGTTCCAGACGTTTCGCCTAAAACATGCATGAAGATAAGGCGTTGATAGGGTCATGACCTACGCCCCTTTCCTCTTCATGCTACGAGAATCTTACTCAAATACAAGATAAGGTCACGACGGGTTACATCTTTAATATACAGAGCTGATATCCTACGTGGAAACTTTAGTTGCGTTACACAGTTGCAAAGAAGTGGCTTTCCACGAAGGAATGTCTGACCCTGGGATACCATCGCACTTGAATGGCTTTCAATAAACATGACGCATTTTTTTCTCAATCTCCTTTGGAACGTTTTCGTTGTTGTCCTAGTTTTATTTTTGTTCTCTATCTTTCAGACCTAGGATTTATATTAAAAAAAATTTCAAATTTCTTTTATTTTTGCTTTAAGATAATTTATTTTGATTATCGGCCTAATTTCAAAGAAACCGTTTGGACAATTTTAGATAATCTCGCGTCCAAAAAAAGTAACGCGAATGAAGGCAATATTTTCACTGGGCAGCAATAACGTATGAATTCCTAGCTATTTAACACCGGTTTTGAACCACAAGAATTTAGGTGCGATGGGAGGATCCAGCAGAGCAGAAGGTCTTCTATTGACTACTTCTCTTCTCTTCTCCTGTCTTCTCCTGTCTTCTCTTGTCTTCTCTTGTCTTCTCTATCATTGCTCATACTTTGCCTTGCCTTATCGAGCACCAACATTATTCCAGATAAGAGCGTTGCAGTCGTCATTGAGCACAGCCTGAATGACTTCGTCAAAATGTCAGCCTGTCTGTTCACAATATGTTGCGTGCGACTGACCATACATGTGGCTGCTTCACATCGCAAATCCATTAATGACCTTGTCGCCAGGAAGGTTGCTCGTTTGATCATTACACCATGTATCGGGTAAACTCTGGACTGACTAAACTCTGGTGCAATGATAGATCAAGCATTCTCGGGCTGAGCTGTAGCCGACATACGAGTATCGTTCAATCGATCAGTACGTACTCTCCAGACATGCACTGGTTAACATTATTCATCAGGGTCAGCTAGCGATCATTCTTCAAGGTCCTGTATAAGAATCTAATACCGCACCTAAGTCTAAAATGCCGCATTGCTGGGTGAAAACATGGCATCCAAGGCCAAATTCACGATTTTAAATTTTATTATAATTTAATGGTGCAAAATTTTTTTGTTCCTAAACTTAAGAAGGAGGGAAAACCGAAAAAGTGTGAACACGTGTAAACTTTGTTTGTTTGTTTGTTTGTTTGTTTGGTTGGTTGGTCGTTTGTTTGGTTGTTTCTTTCTTTCTTTCCCTTTAAGTTCTTGGATTTTTTTCTTTTCTCTTCATTTTCTCGTTTTTCTTCCTCTCTTTTTTTATCTTTACTTTCGTTTTTATTATTATTATTATTGTTGTTATTATCATTATTATTATTGTTATTATTATTATTATTATTATTGTTATTATTATTATTATTATCATTATTATTATTATTATTATTATTATTATTATTATAATGGCATTGAGATTATGAACTTTAAATCCTATAGTTTTTCATTCTATTTTTGTTTATCATTATCTTAAAATATTAAGCATTGGAACTTTAGTAGCTTTGGAGCGAGAGTATTTCTATTTCTATCAAGACATGCATAGACTATTAAGGTTTATTTAAATAAAATTATTATTATTATTATTATTTAATTATTATTTACCCCTTTTCCTCATGTTTTTTTTTTTCCTGTGAATTTTCTTCTTCCTCACTACTTTCGCGCTGAACCAACCGAGCTTTGTTTCCATACAACTGACTCCTCGTGCACATATTAAAACAATTATCGTATCCAATCAGCTAAAAAATTCTGATTCTAATTACATTATCAAACACTTTAAAAGTCCAGATTTTAAAAGCTCCAAACGCATAAAGCAAATCAACAAAAATGCACTTCCATCCATTTGTATTCTAAAAAATTTCGTGCTTAGTAGAATTCTCTTAATTTCACACGAGTAAATTATTGATCATTTTTCAGTATTTTCAATCATTAGTTTGTTTTTCTAATTGATTAAACGATCGATCAGTGACCTCATGACGTGCAATGATGCGTATATATTTTAAGCCTTTACTATGTTTAAAATGTGCGACCAACATAACGAAACTAATATCTTGTCTCTCACAGAGTATTACTTAACCACATACTTAACCAACGAGAGAAATTCGCCGCATTTAAGGTTCAAAACGTGTGGCAGGAACCGCTGAAATCTTGCTTGAATGTAGCTAAAGTCTTTGGATTCAAGAAACATGCGTTTATGGATGTGGAAGCTGCTTCAGGTAATTCTGATTTCAATCTACGTTCTCCTTCAGATTCTTTCGTATTACCAAATGAATTCTAGACTAGACACTGCTCTGCTGCGAATAAAAAAGTTAGAAGATCTTTTAGATGAAAGAGGAAGCAATGAGAACATTCAGACAGCAGTCAGAAATTCAAAGCAAGAAATACCTATGTCTGGAAAACTCACAGACGTCCCAAGACACGAACATGTCAGGCTCAAAAGATCTTCATTAACGAGCAGAGATGTTGAACTTGATGGAATCATCAAGAGATTACAATTTGTCGAAAGTAGGTAAGTGAAAAATATTCAGTTATAATATTTTGATATTGTACGAAGATTATTTCATGTGGAACTGTTAGGGTTCGTTAGGTTGAATGCTTTGGCATAGCGACTACGCGTTTACGGCTTTTGTTTTTTTTTAGCTTTTCGCAGCCATAATCAATGATTATGAAGTTAAGTGAGCTCGAGCTGGACATAATATAAACAAACCTAAATTATTGGGGGTTTTCCTTTGCAAAAAGCTGTCATCTAGCGAGCGACCGTCGTAAAGCAAACATACTAAAGACAACTTTTTTTGAAGCATTGAATCCACAGTTTCTTTGGTTGTTGTTTACGTCGCTTGAACAGCTCTTGTCAACATTTATTTTTCATCCAATTATGACAAATTAATATTAAGGTTTTAGCGAAATCCTTAATTTTGATGGTAATTACCTTAAGCTTGAACGACGAATCATAGACTTAGTAAAGGATAAATAATCCAAGTTAGATACAGAGGCCAGTCTTGTATACATATTTAATCAAAATTAGAAGAGTGAATCCTAATAAGTGGAATAAATATTTTCATTCAAGCATGGAAGTATAAAGTAATTAGACGTCTATAGATCATATCCTACTATGTCCATATTTATAATAATAGTAATAATAATATATCTTTATTATATAACTAAAAATACATACTTATATTAAAATACAAACCAATTGAAGCCTCCATATTTTTTTTTCGATATTCGGAGTTTCCTTCCAACATACTTTCATCGTTACGTTAGATAGAATTTTACTATAAAAAACTAATACAATAAATTCAGATGATTTTTACAAGTGTATATCTACGAAATTATTTTTTGTTGTCTTTATATGTTAATTTTATATTTTTATTGTTAATTATCAAATATTAACTATAATTATGGGATATCACCCCTGATATATTTTTTCAGAAAGCGGCCTAGTGATAGGCAACGCGAAAGAAAATACCAGGGATGATATTTCTTAATTTCTGACAATATTACTATTGATCTTTTGATATACCTGTATATATGTACAAAAGGGTCAAAGTTTTTGCATATGGCTATATATTGTTTCGTCTCTCGACAACAAAAGACATATCTATATCTGAAGTTGCAGAATTGTTTTGGTTAGATGTATATACATATGTACGCTAGCCGTCACGGGGTATAAATTGTTTTAGATTTTGTTACGGTCACCAAAAAGTGTGGACATTGTTATCGAATTTCCATACAAATTACTGACTCTAAATGAACTATTTACTTGGTTAATTTTTAGTTAGTTCTCTAAATACAAGTAAATCTTCATTTTTCTAGCTTGATTGAAGCTTTTCTTACTGCTGTTAAGATAGCTAACTAAAGAAATCTGCCTAAATTTTCTCTTTAAAGTCAGTGAATTGTATGGAAATCCGAGAAAGATGTCCGCGAACTTTTTGGTGACCGTAACCCAATCCAAGCTAGCGCCGAAAAGGTGAATTATATTGCTTTGTTAAATGTTCTAATCCGTTGATGATGAATGAATTACCACTCTTTTCACTGCTACGCGCTGATCGAGACAACAATCTCGACAGGGAAATTGGGCACTGCCGTCAATCAAATAAATTGGTCGGTACCTTTATATTCTCTGATTGGCGGCAGTGGATTGTCCAAATGCAATGCATTGCAGCGGCATTCGATAATAAACATGCTATAAGCCCCGTTTACACTGGCGATTTTTGCGGCGATTTTTGCTGCGATTTTTGCTGCGATTTTTGCTGCGATTTTTGTGGCAATTTTCGGAAATATGAAATATTTTGTCTCATCCTTCAAAAGAGACATTCGTCTAGGAAAATCTTGGTATCCTGAAAAAAACTTTACAAGTAAACTCTTTACCATTATTTATTATGGACAAAATCGCAACCAAAATCGCCGCTAAAATCGCTAGTGTAAACGGGGCTATATAGTGTTAGGCCTTGCTTTTGGTAACGTAGTGCTCACGTTGAATTTATCGTGAGAAGCAGATCAATAAAAGAAGTCGATTTTTTTTCAGTCAATGCCTGAAATGGACCACTATAGATTTTTGTCAATATTCTCCTGAGTTACTGACAACGTCGGGTCAAAAAAGGTGATTTGTTTCTTGATTAAAAATGATAATGCACGCTGTTTCCTTACCCATCAATCAGTATTAAAAAGCTCATGTTCAAGATGAAGAACACGTTTGATTAGCAATTTCAGGCATAAATAGATTAATAAAAAGTCAAAGATGGGTTGGGTGTATTGACTGCGGATAATGAATTTATGCTACTGCTACTGCTACTGCTACTGCTACTGCTACTGCTACTGCTANGTATTGGTATAAGGAAGGCCTTTAGTAAGAGGCAAAATTAACAATGGTATATTGGTATTCATTTGCCGAAATTTAATGCTACTGCTACTGCTACTGCTACTGCTACTGCTACTGCTACTGCTACTGCTACTGCTACTGCTACTGCTACTGCTACTGTTGTTACTAAACACTGTTACTAAAAATTGTAGACTCAACTCAATTTGTAATAATCATGGCATTCCGCTAGCAAACGGACGAACGAGATTACTAGCTAGTTTACATGACGTTTTTTGAGCTGAAGCTTTTAAGTAAAATACGAATCAAAGATTTACGGGTCAGAGGAAGTATTCAACGCCCATTGAGGCACGCTATTAAAGTGATAAGATGATTAGAGGTCAGGCCTTCAGTCAACCGCCAGATATTTGCTTCTGAATCCATGGCTTAGAGATTGTTATGTGTATTTTGCTATAAACCAGTTTCACATTCGATACACAGCGCTGTTTTCAAAATCCAAGACTCGTTCATACAGGCTGAGATTCGTTCATAAGCCAGCTATTCATATATTTCATTAACGACGTTCATGGGCATTGTTTGCGCGCATCCTTTCTACGTACGAATTCAGTGAGCGCACGCTCATCGTGTTGACGTCATTCCAATGTTTTGATAAGCAAAATCTCATATAACTATCTTTCATCTCTTACAGCTCTAAAACGAGGTCGGACACCCCCTTTTCTATTTTGTTTTTTGAAAGTACTCGGTAATACCTTACTTTAGAGGAAAAATTTAAAAAAATCTGACGATGAGATCAAATCGAAATTACATATTTTGTGTATAATTGGAATAGTATTTCAAGCAACGCGAAGGCTTCAAGTCCATACTTATAGCACAATAACATTTGATATTTCTAATTTTTAACACAAATATCAAATGTTGACTAGTTATTTGGTTATTTTGTAGACTTCTGTGAAAAATGGGGACGACTAATTTAGGTTTTCAATAAAATATGACTTTTTGATGTTTACGTTGTTCGCGTGTTTTTACTGTAAAAAGGGTGAACTTCCACGTATTCTGACGGCTAAACGAAGTCTGGGACCCTCATTTTTATTTGCAAAATTAGAATAATAAATCTAACGATGGGATCTTTTGCCTATGAAATCCTTAAAAGCTCGTGGGATTTCAAGATTCAGGTATAGTTCAACTCAGTTGAGAGCTTATTGCTCGGGGTTCCTGTGGAACGGCCCGAGTTATAAAATGATATAACTAGCTAAAAACTAGTGTGAGCTGCGTCGGTGTTTCTAATGAAACAGTAATGATGAAAAGGTAAATTATACACCGTGAAAAGATGAAACAA